AATGCCATTGATTTTGCGTTGGAATAAATACACCATACAACAAACGAAGTCTTAATCGTTACAGTTTATTTATGTGGCACATTAGATTTTGGCATTTTTTGATATTTGTAAATTGTTTAAAGCAGCACGCCTCCAGATTCATCGTAATTTTCATGAAAATTTTGAAAATGTTTTTAAAGGTAAAATATTGTGAAATGAACAAAGAAAGTACTTGACACATTACAATCGGCACATAAAATCCACGTAAATTACCCAAAAGAGGTCAAAATATGCATAAATAGCCCATACTGCGTTAGTAACGCAGAAGAAATATGGTGATAAATACTGCAAAATACATTCATTAATTGCACATAAGATATAAATTATCACTTAATTCTTTAATTTGTTTACTTTTCGTAAAGTTTTAGTATGTTTTTTCCAAGTTTAATTTTCTTGAAATATTTTGGGTCATCTGGAGGCATGCAGCTTTAAAGGTAAATAAGCAAAACAAAAGCATGAGTGACGCATGTTTTGTTCACGCAGTAATATCTTGTAATTGTGAAATTCACTTTCGTAGAGTATGTTTATCAGCAGTGATAATATAAACTACTTCACTTTATCTAAGTAACGAGAGTAATATTAAAACTGGTTAATTATCTAGTTAATGGATGAATATCACCCCTTTTCATGACAATACAAAATCAGATCTGCGACAAGGGGTGTACACTTATTTTCCATAATCCATTCCAAAAGAGGCATTTGCAATCTTAGATAAGGAAGGGAGAATTATAAACTATCTTACAAGTCCACACCATATATAAAATATATATAATTATAATAATTGTCTTTAACAATACAGCTTGTGAGGAAGCTTGTAACTTTTTTATTCTTTTTTGTAATATGTTTTGAATTAGAGAAATAGTTTGTCATTTGTAAGTTAATAATCTGTTAAGGTTGCACATGATGTTTCTATTAAAATTCAAAAAGAATTCATTTGTTACTTGTACCTTTGAGCAAATACTTCTCGATATCACATTGATGTTTAAGTATCCATTTTATAACAGAACTCCGTTGATTCGAGTGATCTTACAGATTCAGTGGCGGCACAGAGCTGCATAGACATGGGGTACTCCAAGGAGATAGTTAAAAGGGCGATAGACATTTTCATTAACAGACACGGTAAGTTCTCACTCCCTAATGTATTAAGAGAAGCAGTAACAAATAAAGTTTCTATTTAAACAAAAAAAAACAGATTCGCTAAAAACTTCCACACACGGCAAAATTGAAAATGTAATAGGCTCGGTTATGGTAAGGCCTGTTCATGGACGGTTCTGGAACGTGCAAGCTACCGTCCAAACCTCCCCGCCTCCTAAATTGTTCAATATAATTTTGATCAACTTTCTATGTTGCATGTATAGTTTATGGAACTTGCCACATTCATTGTCATTTCAATGTGGTTTTATTTCTAGTAGGTAGTTAATGTTTGCATTTTCTCTTAAATAGGTAACAATCACTTCAAAGGGAGGGATATTTGTGAAATAATATTTGATATAGAGGAAAACCCCGAAAAGTATTCCCCCGATGCCACTACTAATACAGAAGCTGAAGAAACAACACAGTTAAATGAAGACAATGAACCATTAGGTATTGGTTAGTTTTCATAGCTTGATATTTTTTAAGAAAGCAGTTTTACAAATCAACGGAAAACCTCTGAGAATATCATTATTGAAAATTTTTAATGAAAGCGCAATTAAACACAGTGAAAACTAAGTACATTTTTAAATACTTTTCCTTGTACATCGATTTAGCAGTTCCCTTACCTAATACAAATATACATAATACTCAAATGAAAACAGATAATAAGAGAAACTGCATATAATTGAACTCTTTTATTTTCTAATCAAAACACCTTTATTATTTCAGAAACGATTGAAACACTCCTTGATGAAAACGAAAGATTAAAAGAGCAATACACGTGTAAAATATGTCTAGACAGAAGAGTGGATGTAATATTTTTACCATGTGGTCACATGGTAAGTTGTCCACAGTGTGCACCGGCGCTTACAAAATGTCCTGTTTGTAGACGAACAATTAATGGTCAACTTAAGGCATTCATGTCTGTCATTAATACAAAAATAAAAAAATGATAACGGTTACCCTAGTAGACAAGTATGAATGCACCGAATACTCAATTAATCACAAAATTATTCTCTAAAAAGAAACATTAAAGGAAAACAGCGTTTTAACCAAATGACCAGTACCGTAGAGAAGCACATTAAAGATATTCTTATTCAGTACTTTAATCAATTTTGTTTGGAACTCACTAAACAAAATAAATCAGAGTGTTGAACATTGGTGAACAGGGTAGGTCTACTAGGGTGAAATAGCATTAAACAATGCCAAGATGTGTTCATTGACTTTTTTTTACTCATATTATATGCTCAACTGAATACAAATGTAATCTTTAGATGTTACGTTAATAAAGTGTTGTTGTATGACAAAAATAGTATTTTGTGTTAATTCCCAACCATAGCACATACTGTATGATTTTATAAATCAGATATCTAATCCCCCCTCTTTATTATTTTCGAAGCCATTCTCTGACTTGGCTACTTATGATAGTAGATAGATGAAAATTTGTGTATGACCCGATATCAATTGTCAAGAATAGGCTTGGTATGATAATGTCACAGAAACCATTATTACTACATAGAAATGGCAAAAACAACCTCAATTCAACAGTTGTGGCATCAGCATATAATACCAAACCTGCATTAAGATATATTCATTCCACACAACGTGAAGTGCATTGTAAAGAAATATCAAATTATCAGATTATTTATCAACTAATACAGTCATTTCCGACATTAAACAAGAAAAATGTCACAATTACAACCAGCGCATGTCTTTTACTTTAAAATGTTTTATTCGGCTACATATGTATTACTATATAAACCCTAAATTCCATGAGAATTAACCATACCAGAGGTAAATGTTAAAGATCGATTGTATACTTTGTTTCGAACTGTATTGATTAGTTCATATAGACTTTCATATTAACATATTGCACAATCCATGTAATAAATAAGATAAACATAAATTAGCACAAATTAAAAACAAAGATAATCTTCTTTTTTCATAACATAAAATGGACTTCGATTTTATTTCTAAGAAGACAGTACTCTTTTATTTCTGGAGCCCTACATCAATTTAAACAGGCTTTAGGTTTTATACAATATTCAATGCCTCATTTATTACTCTAAATAACAGACTGGGTCGTAGTTTTAGGGAAAGCCATCCATTCCTATTTTAACGTAAAATGATGATGACATTATGTCAACCTTTTTCCGGAAACATGAATTTGGAGAGTTTGCTTTCCTGATTTTCTAAAGTCATAGTACCTTCAAATGTGGCGCATGACTGCAAGAGATATTTTATTTTACTTTTAAATTACATTGAAATCTTTACCTCTTATGTATATCGAACATTTATAACAAAATACACAAGGCAACAACGAACATGCTTGTTTATTTCATTAGCTTGTTCATGACCCGAAAGTTGCACCGTACATACACTCACAGATGTTATATTTCCAATACTTGAAGATCTTTCAACATGACCACTGTTAAATAGTGTTTAATCACTCTTAGAATATTTAGCCTGGTTCATAAAAGGTAATCAATGATATGCAGGTTTCTGATTCTTTTATAATATTCGATTTTATCTATTTCCGCCCATTGTTTTATCGTTTATTGCATACACATTATTTTAATTTGAGACCATATGCCGCTTTTTATCGAATGGCACTAACGTGCCACGTTGAAGGTTCCATGATAACCGCCGTATGATCACATCAGAATTCCAAATCCTACCATTACATGTACAATGTAAGTACTGCTTACTGTAAGTATGCTAGGAAGGTGTAGAGGTAATTTGCACTTTCCAGTATCGTTCTTTAATAGGCTCAATTAAACCCAGTCTGCAACATTATCGTTTTGTCGTTTTGGACTAAGAGAGAAGTACAGAATCCCTAAAGAAAGTCCAACAAGACAAAATTGAAAAATTTGCTTCACACCCTTATGACAAATCAGCTCGGAATGTCCAGATAGTGTGCCTATAAAAAGAAGACAACGCTGATTTGAAAGTAAGATTTGTCTAGAATGTCCAAGAGACCACACTTAACCAATTATACTAATAGGTATTAAGGACACTTACGAGTATACAGCTGTCCCCGCTCCATAATATCTCGCGGGAGCCGATAGTTCTGAAAAAAAGGAAGCGAGTACCACAAGATAGAAGTCAGGGTTGTAGAAGTTGTATTATCTGTATAGGTTGTTGTGAGTCAAGGCACATCTCCATATTGATACCGACGTCACAGCCTCATACAGGATCATAGCTTATATTGATAGTATAAAAATTCTAGGTTTGTAACAGGTTGTGTGTTTAACTAAACTTGATTATATAATACCACCAATCATTTAAATAATTATTAGTTTCTTAATAATAGGCAGGTATCTAACCCCAAAACTGTTGTATGGACCAATCAGTTTGTAGCCAAGTTACGGATTTATCTTACTTACTTGTGCTTTGTTGTAGAAAAAGCTTTTATACCTTTTCATATTTCAGAAAATGTACAACTACAAAACTCAAATGGTCAAATGTGCGGCTCTTACGCATTAGAAGACTTCAAAAATTAGTGATTTACGAAAGGCTTATAAAAACTAAAAGCAATATGATATTAATAGTAAAGTTGTACATTGCATGAAAACACGCAATAAGTTAATATATAAAATATCATGTCTATTTTAACAACTATTCTGTATTATGTCATATGTTAAAAATGGAACAGTGTCGAAATTTCTGTGCAGATGTATATTGCGTGTCGCTTGGGTTCCCTTCGAACATTAATCAGAACATGGGCTCCCATTACATGTGTTTATTTTTATACACTGAAAATACCCGACATTAACAAATTGCGTAGGATTAAATAAGAGGTAAGAGGTATTTTTATTTACATTCAATATTTTCGATTATATTCAGTACTATCAAATGAATGTGTTTTTGAATATCTATGACAAAATGTTTATTTGATATATAGCCAGTCGCCCGAGAACAACATATGACATTAATACATAAATGTATATATAATTGTCATATACAATGCTATCTGTGATACAAGAGCATATATAATGACATCAATACGAGTACATTCATTTAGAGATATTATATCTAAAGTAGGTCGAGTATACGTTTTGTTTCCAACTGAACATAACAGATATACATAGCAACATTTTTAAATAAGTGTATGGTTTGAATGTGACTGATTACATTGTTTGTCATAAAACCTTCAAGGTCGAATGTTTGAAAGTCTATGACATTTCAATAAGAAAAGGTACTCGTGGTCCACCTGATCAATTCGACATAATATAGATATTCTTAAATGCTTCTCCACTCCACTCTATCGACCATGTTCATTTTCCAAATTATACGGAGATGTACGGAAAAGTGACATTGCACTGCGGAATTTATTGATATCTAATAGTAAAAAAGAGAGAAAACAGATAAACAAGGCAAGGGCAAAGTTCACAGGATGCAGCCCCCAACACATCCAAGCTACCTTAGCCGGGCACCCAGAAGGCGCCAAAACAAAACTGGGTGTAGAAATAAGGGCGGCGAAAGAAGGAAAGGGACACGTTATGTGTCAAATAATAAAATTAATAATACTGTATTCCTAGAAAAGATTTCGCGCGTTTTAAGTTAGCGCTTTTCGCGGTAAGCATGATTTCAGATTATTGTCCCGTACAAAGTTCAAAGCTGCAGAAATGTAAAAAATAGTATAAGTCATTAGAAAAAGGGGTATAAACTTAACTAGAAAAAATCGCTGTTGTTAAGTCAATAATGCTTCCTTTATTTACTGATTGTTTTACAAGCCTACCTACTCCTAATACTGCTTTTTAAAACACTTGATGACTTATTTTATGATTTTATTTGGAAAGGTAAGGCGAAAATAAAACAATCTGTAATTATTGAAAATATACAAAAAGGTGGTTTCAACATGGTAGATATTAGTACATGTAGTTATGTTCATTCTTTAAAAACAAGGTCATGCTGTGACCTTGATCTACAAGGTAGCGACCCAAATGTTGCGCGCTACATTTCGTCTCAATATGGTTATCATTTCTGTGAAATAGTTGTAAAATGTGACTTCAAATAACAAAGTTATGGACCGGGCACAAAATTGCTGCAAGGTCATGCTGTGACCTTGACCTTCAGGGTAGCGACCCAAATTTTGCGCGCGACACGTCGTCTCAATATGGTGATCTTTTTTGTGAAATAGTTGTTAAATCCGACTTCAAATAACGAAGTTATGTGCCGAGTACGATTTTGCTGCACGGTCATGGTGTGACCTTGACCTACAAGGTAGTTACCCAAATGTTGCGCGCGACACGTCGTCTCAATATGGTTATCATTTCTGTGAAATAGTTGTAAAATCCGACTTCAAATAACAAAGTTATAGGCCAGACACGATTTTGCTGCAGGGTCATGCTGTGACATTGACCTTCAATGTAGCGACCCAAATTTTGCGCGCGACACGTCGTCTCAATATAGTGATCATTTCTGTGAAATAGTTGTAAAATCCGACTTCAAATAACAAAGTTATGGGCCGGACACGAATTCGAGACGTACCTACGGATGGACTGACGGACGGACGGACGAACGGACAACCCGGCGACTTTATGCTCCCCCTATATGCATAAAAAAGGAAAAATTTATTATTTGCTGGTGTCAGATTATAAACACAAGTTCTTGAAATTGTTTCAATAAAACCCAATAGTTTTATTCAATAACAAAAATCATGCAATATCAAACGCATATCAATAAATTCACGGTCAAGCAAATTAGAGTTGAAAGTTGTTTTCTTTCATCTAAAGCTGATGAATTTGCAATTTTCTTTTAACTGAGGACGATATGTCGCTTTTCATGACATGGCACGAAGGTGTCGCATTGAAGGTTCCATGATGACCGCCGTATATGAACACATCTGCGTATGTTTCAAATTCAAAATGTCACCATTTTCGTGTTTAAATGTTGAATTTTTCTTCAGGCAGTGCTAGGGGGCGTGGAAGGTAACTTGCTATTTACCGTTCATTACATGCTTAATCAAACCGAGCCCGCAACATTTCAATTTTGTCGTTTTCTCTATTTTTCTGAATTCAAATGGTAGTGTTAGATAATTATCACACGATTCGCATGTTATTATTTGAGAGAATCGTGCCCTTTGTGTAGTTGAGTTTTCTCTATTTGTATAAATACAAAACCTTTAATTTTCCGTCAACGTTGACAATTGTTATTTGATGACGAACAGACATTTGTTAATATGCAATTTATTATTTAATGTATGTCTAAATAATGAAGGGCTTAAACCTATATTCACCCATATCATTGTTTTATGATTATCAAAAGGTTCTTTATTCCAGAATGAAAAAATAATAGTCACATTGTTCATGAATACGCCAGGCTGCATAGTAACAGAGGATTCAGTGTCCGTAAACCTTTCAAAGCTACATGTGGTCATCTACTGATTATTTTATTGTATGTTGTCTTTTTTATGCTTTTGCCTTAAAATGTATACATGTATTTATGTAACAACTATTTCGTAACTCATATTCTTAAATTTCAAGAAGTATGGTGTTAAGAACAGTGATTATTACAATGTGTTAAAATCATTTAATGTGTTGTTCTCAGAGTATTTATTAGTCAGAATTTAGTATGCGCAAGTGTTTGTAAAAACAAAACAGTTGACTTTACCGTATTGCTTTAGCACATGCGTCTAGAAAATTGTATTTAGAGTCCGCGTATTTATAAAACATGTACAATATAACACAACAGTAGACTGGTTCTAAAATTCAAAGCTGTAATGCAATGAAAAATGTATTGATATTACCAACATCGTATATTGCATAAAGTTACACTGGACAATGAAGTTTGAAAATTCTAGAAATCAATTTACATTGTGTAATTTCCTTATGGCATGCAAAATTTTTAATTCTTACAGGGTTACACAAACGTGTTGTAATTTCTTCAACATGGGCTCGCAGCTTCGTTATAGTAGTCGAGGATGGTCGATATAGAATCAGCTGCTTTTGGAAGTAGTGTTGAAAAACCAATGTTCCAAATTTATGTTGCTGAATCGAGGCGTTTAGAAACATTTGCGAACTGGTCAGACAGTATCTTAATTAACAAAAATGATCTTGTCGAAGCAGGATTTTTCTATACGAGTAAGTACAAAAGAAACGAATTTTTAATCATGAATTATGTAAAACAGAGATCAGTTGAAGTCTTAGTGCAAAGCAGTTCATGTTCATATACATGTATATACTATTTCGGCTTACTAAAAACTGACTTTTTGTAAAACAAATAAAATAAATAGATAGTGGTCACAGATTAATGACAAATAAATGCACACCAGTCTAAGCTTGAGAGTAAAGTAAAAATATAATTTAAGTTGACCTGTTTTTACATGGCCCTATATAAACGGTTGTTTGTATATGTATCCCGAGCAAACAACCGTTTATTTACGGTCATATAGCCCGTGAAGAATCTTTATAACGAATATATAATACAGCAAACTTCCTTTTATAGAGAAAAAAAATTGTCATACGTTTACGGTAGCCGTGTATATTATTAGTTATAAAGATTGTTGACAGGTTATATGGCCCTATATAAATGGCTATTTGTAAATATAACCCGAGCCGCTAGTCGAGGGTTATATTGCAAACCGCCGTTTATATACGGCCATATAACCTGTCAACAATCTTTATAACGAATAAACAAAAAAATGATTTTTTTACAGAAGATGGTGATACAGTGAGATGTTATTTTTGCGGTGTTTGTTTGAACAACTGGGAGCCCGGTGACGTTCCAATGGCAGAACATGTCAGATGGTCTCCAAAATGTTATCACGTCTTTCTAGCTAAAGGACAAAAGTACATTGATAAAATAATAATGAGTGATGAAAACGGAGACGTCAGCAATGGCGAGGTATTTATGGGTGAGTGTGTTTGGGTGAGTGTGTTTTTAGTGTTTTTGCGGGTGGGTGTGTATTTTGGTGGGTGGTGGGTGGATGTGTGAGTGAGTGAGTGAGTGAGTGATCGAGTGAGTGAGTGAGTGAGTGAGTGATCGAGTGAGTGAGTGCGTGCGTGCGTGAGTGAGTGAGTGAGTGAGTGAGTGAGTACGTTCGTGCGTGAGTGAGTGAGTGAGTGAGTGAGTGAGTGAGTGAGTGAGTGAGTGAGTGAGTGAGTGAGTGAGTGAGTGAGTGAGTGAGTGAGTGAGTGAGTGAGTGAGTGAGTGAGTGAGTGAGTGAGTGAGTGAGTGAGTGAGTGAGTGAGTGAGTGAGTGAGTGAGTGAGTGAGTGAGTGAGTGAGTGAGTGAGTGAGTGAGTGAGTGAGTGAGTGAGTGAGTGAGTGAGTGAGTGAGTGAGTGAGTGAGTGAGTGAGTGAGTGAGTGAGTGATGTTAATTTGCCAATAAGGACAGTTCTTTTCATTTTATTTCATTTTAGTTAATGTTAATCAAATGCAGTTATTAAATCGTTAGACGTTATTACCTTAAAGCTGCATGTAGTTAGATGAGTCAAAAACTTTCAAAAAAATAAAACTTAAAAAATATACCAAGATTTTAAGAAAAGTAAATAGATTCAAGATTCCAAAAATAATTTGCATGTTATACACGTTTAATGACTGATTTTGATGTAGGACTTTTTATCACCATAATTCTACTTCATGACTAACTAAATAAGTACTATTTTTGCATATTCTGAGTCCTGTTTGGGTAATTTACGTGGATTGTTAGTGCCAGTTGCATTGTAAAAATTACTTTCTATGTTCACTGCACAATATTTTACTTTTAAATACATTTTCTAAATTTTCTTAAAGATTGACAGAAATCTGGAGGCACGCTGCTGTAAAATTTAGTGAAGTGGTCTATACATCTGCTTTGTTGAAACTGTGCTTTTAACTAATATGAATATAGTTTCGCTCATTGATATCTTCTTGGTCAAAATAATGCAGGAAGCAGCTGGTGCATGTGGAGGAACTGACATTGTAGCTACAGATGCTTGTTTGGAAATGGGCTTTTCTGGAAAAGATATAGAAAGAGCGGTTGCAGTTTATAAGGAAGAACACGGTATTGCTCAGAATTATAAATTAAACACAAAATGTCCACTGCAATGTCTTAGCCTCTGATTACTTCTAAGAAATCATAGATACCATTGTATGAGTAATCAAAGCCATTCCTTTCAAAAGTCTTATGTAACAATCAGATTTATAATGTACTAAAGTTAATTGCTCTATTTCGGTTTTTACATTAAACTGAATTTAAATGATCGGTTTCTCTTTTACATGCAATTGAATTTAATTGTAAAATTATATTAAATCGCTTTGTTTCTTTAAATGCTGTTTGAAGCATACAATAGCATTTTCATCTCATGTCGGCTAACACAATGTTGTGAAGAAACATATATATATTTTTTCGGTGATTTATGACACTAAAATTACATAATGATTTGATATTTCTAACAGTATATATTATCGTTTGATAAAGCATTCATTGTTTTAGGTAACAGTGACGATTACAATACAGTACAATTACAATATCTTTTTAACATTTCATTTGATATATTAAACAGTTATCATAATTGGGTATTAATTGTGTATGTCGAACACTATCTTTGTGAATGTTTTAACCAAATGTAGTTTCACAAACGTGAAATTTTACAATTGTTAAATGTAACAATGTTTTTAAAAATTTTTAATTCTTTCTAAAAACAAAATAATGAAATTTTATAACATTATAGATTTGACTGACAATACAAAACGACTTATAGAGGAAAATAATCAACTCAGGCAACTAGCCTTGTGCAGAATATGTATGGATACAAACCAGGACGTCGTATTTTTACCTTGTGGGCACATGAATTCATGTTTTCTTTGTGCATACGTTCTGTCCGTTTGTCCAGTCTGCAGACAAACTATCACCTCAACTGTCAAAGTAGTTTTTTGATGGTGAAAAAGCCCACAGTTCTAGCAGCCAAACGTCGGGACCTTCCTCTGATGATAACGCTTAGATGGCCAATGATCACTTTGATTCCAGAGATGTAAAAACAAGAGCACAAGCTTCGATCTTTAAATTGTAAACAATGATCAAGAATTTGTATAAAAAAAGTGTTAACATTCTATGGTTTAATGATCCATGCTCAAAGAGCAAATTTAGACCTACTGTTACAATATTTGGGTCAGTGTCGAAATCTTTGTTTAAACATTGGTACAATGTCTTAGAGACGTTGAATTGCAAAATTCAAATACAATACAGCAGAACAATATCAACCTGAAGTGAATTATGCATATCATATCAGTTATGCTTGATGAAAGGAAACAAAAACAGTGGGCTGCTTTTGCAGTTTTTAAGGCTTCATTCAAAATTTTAACTTAATTTTGTTCCAAGCCTGGCACTAATAATGATGATTTTTCAAAGAAGGCTATGATACCTTTAATGTATCCAAACTTGAAACATGGACACTTAAGAGTTTGCATGGTATATTTTATTTGGATGGAGCTTAATAAAGATGTGTTTGACTGTGATGATTATTTATCTTTTAGTATATATTCTGTGTTTTTATGTCACATTGTGTAAGGTCTTTAATCACTTGAACAGTTTATGTTCGTCAATACGTATATTTAATATGGAAAGAGGTCAACATTATAGGCTTTACGTCTGATATCAGTCTGGTATTCAATCAAACTTTTAAGTTTATGTAAACTTTAGGTATAAAGGATTTTCAAGGGACGTTTTTCAAGGGACGTAATGTTGAATTATTCTGGTAAGAAGTTATTAAGATTATATTAAACAAATTTGCAAATAATTTTGTTAGAAATAAATTATAATAACGATAACAACAAGAACATTACTTTTAAAACTAGAACTTACGAACATATTAACAAATAGATGAGCGAGCGCAGTCCTGAACAAACGAACGAACGAAAGTAATAATATACCGGTATTGTGCTTGACTGTAACGTCGATCCATTTGATAAATTAAACTAGACACATTTGGATTTTAAAAGTATGGGTTGTGCAGCTACATAGGTTTGTATGAAATGAGTTTCCTGGGGCAAAATGATTGACAAAGAGTCAACATTTTAAATGGAGAAACAATGTAACAGCAAGCATGGTTTATTCGTGAAAAGCAAAAAACATAGAATTACATATTATCAATTTTTCAATGCAATAATTTCTCAAGGGCTTAGATCCTACCCTGGCTCTTTGTTAAGTAAACGAAAACAGAGAAATGGGAGTGTAAGGAGAGCGGTGGTCTAGTGCCTCTCAATCCAGGGGTCATAGGTTTGAAGCCTACTGAGGTCGCGCCCATGTTTCCTCATATGACACCAACACTGCTTAGTTCCATGAAGCGCGGAGTCTAAAGGGATTAACATTAGTTGCAAAAACTTGTTTCGCTTAAAGAACATGTCTAAACTAACAGTGAAATCATTAAATTATTTAACAAACTTTATAATCTAATCTACTTTTGATTAGTATCTTGTTCAAAACATACATCTGGTCAGAAACATAAAAATCACATTTGTCATAATAATAACGTCAATCCAATTTTTGCCTGGAACTATATATTTATTGAATGTATGTATATTTAATTCTAAATTCAATTAATATAGGTAATAGTGTCTACAATGCAGATGAGTATATGAGACTTTGCTTCATCTTTTTTTTGCTTTCATTCTTTACACGGATTAAAGGGACTCCACTGAGGTTTTTTGACATGATGGGACTGAAAATATTTTTTCCAGTTAAATGGAACATTTGAAGTAGGTTTAGACCACTAATATTTGTGCAAAATTTCCGATCATTCGCGCACTTCGTTTCTCCGGAATAATTATTCAAATTGTAAAAAAAGACACAAAATGAAAGACGTTTAAACTCGTTTCACTCAAAACTGGCTAAGAAAAGCATAAAAATACGATTTTCAATTTACTTCAAAGTATATGTCTTAACTATCTTTGCATATATTTCTGTTTAAATTACCCCAATTCATGTATGTAAGAAATTCAAATGTTATGTTTATAGGCTTTTAAACCTCAGTGGTGTCCCTTTAATCGTATTGATACTTAAAACTTTCCGTTCATATTTCATAAAAAAAATATTGTTTATTCCAATACAAATGAGAAAATATAAGAAAATGACCAGTCTACTACTATTATTTATAGTCACAATATGATCATGATGCCATTACTAAGCACAATGATGAAAAACAAATAAACTGATAAATTACAATTATTGTCAGTGCTGTCTCCCAAAAACAGTAGTAACAAAGTACAAACGCATTGTATTACTAGGATTTTAAAAGGTAGTCTGATATAAAGATAACTATAAGACTATATAACTGAAACACAGAGATTCTCATAACGAGTCTGACATAAGAGACATAAAATTATACAAAGAGAAAGGAATTTATCTTAAAACATAATTTGAGCCGTGTCATGACAAAACTAACATCCGTGCAGTCTGATCAGGATCCATGCTGTTCGCTTACAAACTCTATAACAAGTAGAGAAACCGACAGCGAACAGCATGGATCCTGATCAGACTGCGCGGATGCGCAGGCTGGTCTGGATCCATGCTGGTCGCAAACGCACTATGTTGGTTTTGTCGTGACACGGCTCATTTGTCTAATTGATAGATCATCATACGTTACAATCATAGACTCAAATTTGGCATTATATTGAATAATACAAATTCATCATAATAGCAATTCAATATAACCATATTAATTTGCTTGAATGATTAGTTTATATACATATATAAGGAAGTCGTTCGGTATCTAAATTATATCCAGTTCAACAATTCACTGATGTTGCATCATTGGATTGTTATAAACATAGAAAGACAAAATATATTGCATGAAAGTGTCCTTTTATTCAAGCAGTCTCTTCTTTAACTTCATATCTGTACAAAATGAGCTTGCTGTGTTTTTATCACGGTCTTAACAAAATGATTGCAAAGCTTAATAAGGTTTGTTTTTGGCATTTGACCCACACAATAAAGTAAGGGACAATATTTTATCTACATATTGTCAGTAATTTATTTAAGAAAGAACTTATTGGTTCTTGGTTTTTTTCACCAATTTCTAAACGTCTCATGTGACCTACCGAGATAGGTTATAAATATATGTGTATGTTCACACGGGCCTTTGACCTACTGGCTTTAGTTCACATGTTTTTTTGTTCTTTATTTTCATTTTTTCTGCATGAAACATTGCACTAAGTTACTTTTTTGACAGGATTTTGACAGGATTTTGACAGGATTTTGACAGGATTTGATTTAATATCACGTTATCTTTATTTTAAAATATTTGTAATAAAACGTTATAACCCCCCCCCCCCCCCAAAAAAAAAAAACAAAAAAAAAAAACAAGGGTGCCATAGTCACAAAATACGCCCGTTTACGAAAGCTTTAGATGGAGATGGGGGCATTATGGATAAGTGTTATCTAGCAGGCAAATTTTTATTCTTGGTACTGTGTTGTTAAATGAACCTTAAAACAAATCAGTAGGGAAGATATGCACAGGATGTGTGGCCTTGACCTTGGTCGCAGGGACCTGAATTTTATGCACGGCACTCAGCCTCACAATGATGAACATTTGTGCCAAATTATATTGAAATCCCTCTATGCATGTAGAAGTTTTGCTCCAGACAAGCGTTTTTCTATGAGCTCTAACTGTGACCTTCACCTTTGACCTAGAGACTTGTTTCATGTGCAGGGCACTACGTCTCATGGTGGTGAACAATTCTATAAAGTAACATTAAAATTCCTCTATGCTCCGGACAACATCTGGATATTTAATCATCTCCAGTGACCTTGACCTTGCAAATATTAACCTAAATTAAATGTGTCACACCTGTAGTCATGATAGTTACCATTTGTGCTACAAATCCATCAATAAAAGATGACTAAATGGTCCCTATACACATCTTCAAATTTTTATCTGAACTTTGACCTCTATGTGTTACCTTGACTTTGGTCGCAGGGATCTGAATTTTGCGTGCGACACTCAGCCTCACAATGGTGAACATTTGTGCCAAGTTATATTGAAATCCCCCTATGAATGTAGAAGTTTTGCTCCGGACAAGCGTTTTTCAATGAGCTCTAAGTGTGACCTTGACCTTTGACCTGGAGACCTGGATCATGCATGGAGCAATACATATCATGGTGGTGAACATTTCCATAAAGTATTATAAAAATTCTTCTATACATGTAGGAGATATGCTCCAGACAAAATCTGGATATTTCACCATCTTTAGTGACCTTGACCTTGCATATATTTACCTAAAGTACATGTGTCACAGCCGTAGTCATGATAATGACCATTTGTGTTACAATCCCTCAAAAATGATGATTAAATCGTCCCTATACACATCTTCATATTTTTATCTAAAGTTTGACCTCTATGTGTGACCTTGACCTTGGCTGCAGGGACCTGAATTTTGTGCGCGACACTCCGCCTCACAATGATGAACATTTGTGCCAAGTTATATTGAAATCCCTCTATGCATGTGGAAGTTTTGCTTCGGACGAGTGTTTTTCACTGACATCTAAGTGTGACCTTGACCTTTGATCTAGAGACCTAGTTCATGCGCATGACACTGCTTCTCATCGTGGTAAACATTTGTATGAAGTTTCATTTGAATCCCTCAATGCGTGTAGGAGATATGCTCCGGACAAATCTTGATATTTCATCATCTGTAGTGACCTTGACATTGTATATATTGACCTAAATTATATGTATCACAGCCATAGTCTTGATAATGACCATTTGTGTTACAATCCCTCAATAAATGATGACTAAATGGTCCATATACACATCTTCATATTTTTATCTGAACTTTGACCTCTATGTGTGACCTTGACCTTGGCCGCAAGGACCTGAATCTTGCGCGCGACACTCCGCCTCACAATGGTGAACATTTGTGCCAAGTTATAATGAAATCCCTCCATGCATGTAAAAGTTTTGCTCCAGACAAGCCTTTTTCTATGACCTCTAAGTGTGACCTTGACTTTTGACCTAGAGACCTGGTTCATGTGCGCGACACTGCTCCTCATAGTGGTGAACATTTCTATGAAGTTTCATTAAAATCCCTCCATACATGTAGGAGATATGCTCCGGACAAAATTGGACGCCGCCCGCCCGCCCGCCCGCCAGGGGCGTTCCCATAATACGTCCCGTCTTTCAAACGGGCGTATAAAAAAAACATGCTTCTTCTATATATATCTTCATTGTTGGTGTCCACAGTGTTTTTAATCTGTTAGTTACTGCTGTTTTTATATATCTAACGGTTTCTGTAATTTTTGAAGACTTCCATATATAGTTAAGATAAATTTGGCAAACTATATCTGGTATGATTGTATTTTAAAATGACCCAACCTTACCCGTCAATGGATACGTGCCTTGTTTATACCTTCGCAACAAAATGCGCATTGATTCATCAATAATAAACTGATAATGGATTCCCAATCACTACCTTTATAATTAGATTATGATAATAATTAAGTTTCGAATCGGAAAACCATT